TCATGTGGGACTTATGCTTGGAGGAGGCACTTGTTAAAGTGCCAAGCCTCATTCCAAGGTTCAGTCCTCATGATGGATGCATGTCTCCGGCCTATATATTGGTGGATTATTGCCAGGAATCCTGCTCATTCACTCCCTCCTTACATCATTCCTTCATTCCTGCAATCATTCCTTTAATCTCTCCCTCCTTCACTCTTTCGATCACCCTCTGTCTCATTTACTCCCTCACCACTCACTCCATTCACTCACTCACTCACTCAATCACTCCTTCACTCAAATACTCATGCACCCACTCACTCCTTCACTCACTCTTTCTTTCACTCAATCACTCACACCTTCACTCACTCCTTCACTCAATCATTCCTTCACTCACTCCTTCACTCACTCATTCATTCACTCCTTCACTCACCAACTAACTCCTCACTCACTCCTTCACTCACTCACTCACTCACTCACGCCTTCACTAACTCACTTACTCACCAGCTCACGCACTTTCACTCACTTATGCCTTCACTAACTCACTCACTCACTTACTCACAAGCTCACTCACTTCACTGGCCTTCACTCACTCACTCACTCTCACTCACTCACTCACGCCTTCACTAACTAACTCACTCACCAGCTCACTCACTTTCACTGGCTCACTCACTCACTCATACTCATGTATGTCTTATAATGACACCAGTGACACTCTCCCATGCTGGTAATCATATCAAGAAACACACTGCCATGCTTAACCACGTCCGTATAGTTTACGAAAAGTAATAGGTATCACCAGACCATTAGTGATACAGAGAAGCCATCTTGATCTACATAACTGAAAATAACACTGTATTATCTTGCAGACAAAACTTGTTCTAACACTTGCATTGTGCTGCATTATTCATATCTGTCAAGGTAAAAAAGTATTTGTCATGATCCAACTCATTAAAATAAATCACCAGAATTATCACCTACTCTACAATGCTATGTTAGTAGCTCCATGGGGATAACTGCTGTATGCCCTGAGTAAACACGTTTGTTATGGTAATAATTAAACGTCATTCAAATAAGCCACCAATCATATGCTATGTATAATGTAAACATGTTTGACAACTTTGGAGTAGCATCAACATTAACAACGTACAAAGCAGACAAGTTTACACTAAGCTTACCTTGGTGAGAGAATAGGCTGTTGTAGGTTTAATATCCTTTAATTGCTTCCAGTAGTGGCCTGACACAGACAAGACTGTTGTAGGTCTGCCTCCAGGTATGGAGGGAGCGGGGGTGACCCAGTAGCTGATCAATGTCGGGTATTGACAGGTATTGATTTCCGAGGACCTGGAGTGACAGGTCCTGGCTTGTCCCAGCTCTGGGGTATATAGGCCCAGAATGTGTGGGCGTGCAGCACTCTTCTTATACCTGTCTGTGGGTTTCTTTGAATAACAGTGCTCAGTTGTAGGTCTATGCTTTGTCTGACTGTTGAAAGTGGTTTTATTTAATGTCAGCAATTATTAATGTGCATGGTTTATAGTGGTATAAACTCTTCATATACCTGTGTATTGGTTTCTTTGAGTGATAGGTTCTGTGTAAGATTTGTGGATGTTTTGTCTGACTGGGTTGTAAGTGTTTTTATTTAATGTCAGCAATTTGTGGTTTATGGTGGTATACGCTCTTTATATACCTGTGGTATGAAAACAAAATATATTAGATAAAATTTGTTAAATCTTCATAATACATTTAGTTAATTTCTAAGTGTTTGTATTTAATGTCAACAATTATCAATGTGCATGCATGGTTTATAGTGGTATAAGCTCTTCATATATCAGTGTATTGGTTTCTTTGAGTGATAGGTTCTGTGTAAGAGTCGTGGATGTTTGGTCTGACTGGGTTGAAAATGTTATGTAAAATGTCGACAGTTGTCAACTTGCGTGGTTTGTGAGGCACTTGTCAAATATTATACCTTATGCTGGTTAACTTAAAATTTGTACATAGTTTTTGAATGATTTATGAGTTTGAAATCTAAAAATATTACATGAAATTTGATAAATCTTCATAAAACATTCTGTGAATGCTATTTGCTGTGACTGTGATAAATTTCAAAGCATTTGTTAACTTATGACGATAATTTGATAAATGTATATTTTTGGGAGTGAATGCTGTTTTTATGACTCAGATATGAGTGTCAAATATGCACATATGACATCTTGATTAATCTTTAAAATCTTTGAATGCTATTTCTGCGAGACTTATAAATGTGTAAACATTTTTTACTTATTATGACATATCTCCTCAAAACAATGAGTTAACGTTACGCTCACTCACTCACTCACTCACTCAGAAACAGCCATGATGCATCATTGATAATTGATTACCATAACTAGATAGAATACAGAAGGCATAACTACTGTTTGTATATGACTGTTTGCTGATGGGACCTGCATATTACATAATTATTGTTCCCACCTGATGGTTGCCAAAGTAATTGTTCCACAATATGTCAGTAATAATGGATGTGTAAATAGTAATGAATTAATGGGTGGAATCAATAACGTGGTGTTGCCAATAAAAGCCGCAATGAGAGCAATTTGTTGTTGATGGTTGTTTGTTCGGGGGGGGGGGCACAGGTGGCCCAGTCGTCAAAGTCGACTATGATTGTGGGTTCGAATCCCGGTTAGCCCCGATTATGTTTCTAGGTTTGTCAGCACCATACCTGTGCTCGTGGGTTTCACAGAAATGGTAAACGTCAGAGACCTGCATCACTTCGGGCTTTCCTCCCACATTAAGCTGACACGCCGTGATATAACTGGAATAATGTTAAAAGCGGCGTTAAACCCAACTCACTCATTCACTCACAGTTGTTCTAGGGTGTTATGAATAAAGAATATTTGGTGAATCAAAAATTATCAGCATTCAAATCGTGTTCAGTATTTACAACCTTTTGAACTGTAGATTCAATTTTCAGCAAAACACAAAACAACATTAATTCAGTGAATAGAACCCATAAAACTGTTAACTATGACAAGGAAATAAAGTTTCTATAACATCTGTAGCTTGTAATATAAGATATATGCCAGATATATGGGTAACTTATGCTGGTCGTAAGAGACGACTTAATGGATTGGGTGGTCAGACTCGGTGACTTGCATGTTGTGTGCCATTACACTTTGATGACATGAATCTCTGAATTGTCGGGTCTAGATGTAATTATTTATAGGCCACCATCATGATGCAGGAATATTACTGAGCATGTTGTAAAACAAGAAACTAGCAAAATCTGTCAGTAGTGGTTTGTGTGCACCAGGTTCAACCTGGGTCTAATGAAGTGAAGAGCATTCTTGGTCTCTCAGCACTCTAGATATGTGGTCCCTCAGCTGAAAAATAGGTGCTTAACCGAGTTATGTCACCCACTCACTCACTCACTCACTCACTCACTCACTCACTCACTCACTCACCCACCCACCCACCCACTCACTCACTCACTCACTCACTCACTCACTCACTCACCCACTCACCCAACCACCCACCCACCCACTCACTATTTGCAAGACCTTCGAAGATCCGGGCTAGAATAGGTCTTCAGCAACCCATGCTTGCCGTAAAAGGCGACTATGCCTGTCGTAAGAGGAAACTAATGGGATGCCCATGATATTAATCACTGGATTGTCTGGTCCAGACTCTATTTTTTACAGACCGCCATCATATAGCTGAAATATTGCTGAGTGTGAGGTTTAACAACAAAGAAACCAACTATGTGCGAATGAAAAAGGTAGAGCTGTAGAATGTTTTTGAACGGATTGACATTGCTGCTGCTGCAGTTAGACAACTGTTTTTTTAGCAGCCCACACTAATCAAACTTTATCCCTTTTAGGCCTCTTTGTAATTAGCATCAAGCTCTGATTAGTTAATACTATGCAACTAAGCTTATAACTGCTACAAGGCTGTGTGTGAATAATGAGACTTATAATGGATGATGAGGGACGGTCGGGTAGCCTAGTGGTTAAAGCGTTCGCTCGTCATGCCGAAGACCCGGGTTCGATTCCAGACATGGGTACAATGGGTCTTCGGTGTGACGAGCGAACACTTAAACCACCAGGCTACCCGACCGTCCCGTATAATTGATGAAAACCAGCTACTCATTCCACTTAGTGATCTACTACTGTCGTAATTCTGCGTGAAAGTTGCCACACTTGTGTATACATGGCCTAGAATTTATTATCAGTGAGGAATGATTTGCATGCAGCATATATACTACTCAAAATAAGTTGAGGAACACCGCATTTTTTCATATGACTATAGTTAATCTGTCAAGGCATTACAGTTAATCTATTGCAACACACAGCCTTCTAATTGTGGGAGGACCACCTCCGTGGTCTTATGGTAGAGCGTCCGCCCGGAGAGCGGAAGGTCCGGGGTTCGATCCCCAGCCGCGTCATACCAAAAGACGTTAAAAGATGGTACTTGTTGTTACCCTGTCTGGCGCTCGGCATTAAAGGGCTAAAACAAGGACTGGTCGGCTCGGAGTCAGTATACTTTGTCTGAGTGGGGTATTCATGTTAAACTGCGGCATGGTATCTCAGTGTGCTAGCACTATAAATCGGCATCAGTCTGGACTAGTACAAGCAGCCACACACACACATATACACGTGCATGCACGTTGCTATATAAGTGCAATAATCTTGGACGCGACATTAAACCCCATTTCACCTCACCTCTAATTGTGGGTGTTGTTTAACTTGTAATATTGTATAGAGTAATATTGAATTACCTACTGTGAACAACAGGTACATTATGATGTTTAGTTGTTAAAATCCAGCTATATGCAACCTGTAAATATCATGTCTGGACCAGATAATCCAGTGATGGATATTATGAGCAATGATCCACACCTTTAGGGTATGATGATGCGCTATCAACCCAGTCAATGAGCCTCACCACCATAAAGTCACCTATACATCAAGCATAGGTTACTGGGGACCAACTCTACCCTTTTTCTAAACTTTGTCCATTTATTTCTTCAGGTTCCGGATGATGCTCTTATATATGGCATCACATCTGGCGGCTCACCAACAGGTGACGCTGCCAAACACTCTGTTGCCATGGATACTGCAGGTCAACCTGAAAGTGCTGGATCGGGATCAGAAGGAGGCAGTCCAAGATTTGTTCGTCCGTACGTAGTTCTATACATAATAAATGCAGACTGTTTTTAGCTCACAGGAAACATACAATATTCCTCCTATTTCTAAAAGATACAGTGTTCCTCTTATTTCGAAAAGATACAGTGTTCCTCTTATTTCTAAATGATACAGTGTTCTTCTTATTTCTAAAAGATACAGTGTTCCTCTTATTTCTAAATGATACAGTGTTCCTCTTATTTCGAAAAGATACAATGTTCTTCTTATTTCAAAAAGATAGTATTCCTCTTATTTCTAAAAGATACAGTGTTCCTCTTATTTCGAAAAGCTACAATGTTCCTCTTATTTCGAAAAGATGCAGTGTTCCTCATTATTTCTAAATTATGCACTGTTCCCCTTATTTCTAAAAGATACAGTGTTCCTCTTATTTTTAAATGATACAATATACAATATTTCTCTTATTTCAGGTAAATGGGTCCTTATTACTTGTTTTCGCATAATATACTCGCCAAGAGTTATCAGTTGTTTTCTCATAACTAAATTCTTACATAAGGTGCTTTTTAACCTTTTTGGTCACTGCTGTCAAATATTTGAATGAGATAATCTTCCAAAAAATCGGAGAACTGTGTATTGCCGCTCGCAGAATGTTACGAGTCAATATTTGAGGTCCATTTTGGAGCGGTGAGGTATTCTAGTGGTTCTATTCGGTTCCCAAACTGGGTACAATGTGTGAAGCCCATTTCTGGTGTCCCCCATCATGATATTGCTAGAATATTGCTAAAAGCACAGAAAAAAAAGCTCACTCACTCGAGGTCTATTCTATTGTTAGGTCAACAGTGGAATGTACTGTTTCATCACGTGATATGATTAACCAGTGAAATTTCTTGCATTCTTGTTAGAGTTTGCAAGGACAGTGGGGCAGCCTAGTGGTTAAAGTGTTTGCTCATGACCCCGAAGACCTAGGGTCGATTCCCCACATGGGTACCATGTGTGAAGCCAATTTCTGGTATCCCCCTGCCGTGATATTGCTGGAATATTGCATAAAGCAGCCTAAAACCATATTTATTTACAGATCCCTGTCATATGGCAGGAATAAAACTGTGTGCGGAGCTAAACAACAAACAAATAAACGTTTGTCTCCAGAGACATTGGATACAGAATATTCACTGATATTAAGTTTCATTGAAGAAAATGTATCTCTAGAACTTGCTTTGAAACATGTTTCAATTGTGATGTATGCCAGGATATTTGATTGTACTCATTCAACATTTCAGAATGGAGTTGACCCCTGACCTCTGTGTGCATGTGATCAACTGGGAGGCAGAACCGTGGATCATCTCCGCGGAAATATCAGCTCTCTTCTGGGAGGAGGATATCCTCCGGTCCATGGTAGAGTCACAAACATGTTTGGAAGTTTGATGCCTTTAATGTGGGCAGTCAGGTAGCCTAGTGGTTAAACGTTTGGAGACAGGGGTACATTGTGTGAGGGGCGGTCGGGTAGCCTAGTGGTTAAAGGGTTCGCTCGTCACGCCAAAGACCCGGGTTCCATACCTGATATGGGTACAATGTGTGAAGCCCATTTCTGGTGTTCCCTGCCGTGATATTGCTGAAATATTGCTAAAAGCGGTGTAAAACCAAACTCACTCACATTGTGTGAAGCACATTTCTGGTGTCCCTCACTGTGATATTGCTGGATTATTGCTAAAAAAGGTGTCAAACCATACTCACTCACTCACTTATACCGTTTTATGACAGAGATTATACTCTTGTTATAGTCTTATAGATTGAAGATTTTGCACCACTTCAGGCTTTTGCAGTGTCACCATGTGCGACCCGTGAAGATCCGGGGTAGAACAGGCCTTCAGCAACCCATGCCGTAAAAAGCGACTATGCTTGTCATAAGAGGTGACTAATGGGATCAGGTGGTCAGGCTCACTGACTTGGTTGATGCATGTCATCGATCCCAATTGCGTGGATCGATGCTCATGATGTCAATCTCTGGATTGTCTGATCCAGACTTGATTATTTACAGACCGCCGTCATATAGCTGGAATATTGCTGAGTGCGGCGTCAAACAACAATCCAAACCAAAGCATACAGCTACACAATAAGAACCACCAATACCCATCAGTATTGTCTGTGTTGATTACAGGGTGGTGTTGTGAGGACGCATTTGCTTCTCACCACAAACAAGGTTCATTGTGTTCCAGGTGTCCATCACCATGACTTAGCTGGAATATTGTTTGAAGTGTTATAAAATCAACCTCACTAACTCAGTCATTCCTTCTTCCCAGCTGCAGACGAGGCACATGCTTGTGAAGAAACAAGTCCTCAGCCAGTCGGACTACCCCCATCTGTTCCAGGACATGCTGTTGTAAGTTAAGAGGATATTATCATGGGTCTCACGTCCTTTGTTATCCCCTCGTTTTGAAAAACGGGACATAGCGATCAGCATGTTGGTTTGTCCGTTTTCCGTTTCTGGAGCAGCTCCAAAACTGTTAAATATTTCTTGATGAAACTTGCTATACAGATCAGTCTAGTGGTTAACTGGTGCCTTTTGATGATTTGGAATGTTTAAAAGTACTGAACAGCATTATTTTTTTCATTACGGAACTGAAGGTATCCAATGGCAATGATCCCCAAGTGGGGTAGAAGTAGCCAAACTCCAATTCCAAATTGCAGCAGAAAATCAGAGGGATATGTCATCTCCTGATGGCTCTTGTTGCACAGATGGCGACCATTCTCTTTTTCTATTTTAAAATTTAGCTATTCCTAACCCAAATTATGATTTTTAGCCCCCACAACGTATTAAAATGTACACCGTCCCCCCGCGCAATATGTCGTTTAGGGAGCAGATCTTGAAAATTGAATATTATATCTTCACCAAACTTGGCACACAGATAGGTCTAATGGTGAACTGGTGAATTTTGATAGCTTGCCATTTTCAACAAAAATAGTTTGCGAGTTTCCATGGCAACGATTTTTACTTATGCTGGAAATGGTGATAATGCTGGTTTCCTGAGCAGATCTTGAAAACCATATGATATTTCATCACCAAACTTGTCACATTGTCCTAAGCCTTGCTGACCAACCACACAAACAGGTTTGAAATTGTTTAATATATGTATTAATTATGACTAATTGCAAACTGTCATGCACATTCACGATGATACTATTGACACTTTTAATATTTCTATCGACACAGTGCAAACCATTGGCATTGTTCGACATATCGCTTCCCTCCTATCCATGACTCGGTGCTATTGATTACTCCAAAGCTTCAATTAGGGCTGGCAACTCTGTAGTTGTCAAATAATTTGTATTGGGTCTTCAGGCTCGATGACTTGGTTCATAGGGTGTCATCGTACCCGATGACATGGAACATTGCTCATAATATCAACCACTAGTTCGCCTGGTCCAAACGTGGTACTCTATGGGGATGCCGGGTTAGAAAAGACCTCCCAACAACATATGCTGGTCATAAAAGGCAACAAAGTGGATTGGGTGGTCAGGCACGGTAACTTGGCTGATTGTGTGTCATCATGTCCCGACGGTGTGGATTGTTGATCATAATATCAATCACTCGATTGTCTGGTCCAGACTTGATTACTCGTAGGATGCTCTCCTATTGCTGGAATAATGTAGTCCTGTGCCATGACTGTGGAATTTATGGATATATATTTATTATTTAATCTTTCTAAAAGCCAATGCAAGTCTGAATCATACTAAACCAAGTCTAGTTAACATAAGAAGAGGAAAGGTTCTTTCGAAGAAAAGACTTTATCATTATTTTAAAGAAATGTTTTGATTGACCAAGTGTTAGTCTAGGAATAACGCTTTGTGCAGTGTTAAACCACAAACAAAACAATAATGTCCTGTTTCTCACTGCAGCTACGGAGTGAAGTCCATGCATGGGCACAAGACCTACATCACCATCTATGCACTGAAAGGGTAAGATAACCCTTCAAGAGTTACTTCCCTTTTTAAGACATGGTGTTTGTGTTTCACAACATTTAGTTTCAACAGATATTTCCAACTTGACCCATTGCTATTGATTAATATTTCTTGGAAACTATCTTTATTCATACAGTTAGATTTAGCAAGTTACTCTTTACAACCAAGTAATACATAAACGATTATTGGTTAGTTTTCATGTGAATAATATTTTGAACTATTCAGGGTTTTACGGATGTCCTTTACTCATAAAAGTTTAGAATGGATGCAACTGTGTTGTTTGGTAAGAATCAACTTCATCAGAAGTAATGTCTGTTGTTTGGTGTGCAGACTGCCAGAAATCTTGGATGCCTTTGATCATCCGAATACAAGACTGAAAGCACGAGTGGAGGAGATACTCCGGGACTTCGATCCAAATGACCTCTACTGGCAGGTTAGTATGGAGAACAGTGTTGTCCATTCACGCTTATTATTTGGAATGGGTGCTGTCTGTCCGTCTGTCTGTCAAGTTTCTTTTCAGAGCAGAACCATTAAAGATACTGTAACCACACTTGGCACATGGACAGGTCTAGTAATGAACTGGTGCCTTTTGGTAGTTTGTGATTTTAATTTTTTTTACTTTTTGAGTTTCCATCGCAATGACTTTGACTTAGATTGAAAATAGTGGTATTGCTCCTTTCTGGAGCAGATATTGAAAACTGTACAATATTTCTTCACCAAACCTCGCTTATTGATAGGTCTAGTGGTAAACTAGTGGCTTTTTATAGTTTCGGATTTTTGAAAAACTTAGTTTTCAAGTTTCCATAGCAATGACTTTGACTTAGACTGAAAATGGTGGAAGTGCTCGTTTCTGGAGGGCTAAAGCCTTGCACACAACCAGACATGTCATATTGGCGGGGCATATGAGTATTTCATGATTGTTTAGCTTATATTATCGCAATTTAATTATGATACATAAACTAGACCAATTATCCACCATTTGGCTTTGTTTCACACGTGACGTTACAACCCTCATCACATCTCTTAACACTGGCCTAGGGGACACATGTGGCCCAGTTGTCTAAGGCGCCAAGATTCGCTTTACAGTGTGCGTCCCTTGGGCACGCCAGAAACCTATGATTGTTGGTTCGAATCTCGGTTCGCCCCGATTGCGTTTCTAGGTTTGTCAGCACCATACCCATGCTCGTGGGTTTCACCAAAGTGGTAAACGTCTGAGACCTGCATCACTTCGGGCTTTCCTCCCACATTAAGCTGACATGCCAGGTACGATTCCCCACATGGGTACATTGCGTGAAGCCCATTTTCTGGTATACCCCGCTATGATATAGCTGGAATATTGCTAAAAGTGGTGTAAAACCATTCTCGTACACCCATTAATCGCCAGTAGCTGTAGCACTTTTACTTGTATAATCCTGAGACTTCGCAATTGTTGGAAGTATTTTTTTTTTGTGTGTTAAGATTTAACTTGATTAATGTCAAGGTCTGGAAGTATTTGTTTGTATGAGAAAGGGACTGTTTCGTTTTTCAAATACTTACAAACACCTAGTTGTAAGGCTAATATTGGTGACCTTGTTTCACCTGCTGCCCCCTGTATAAAGACATGTCATTTCTACCCTAAGCACTCTACACTTAAAATGATTAAACAGTATGGTATTGATTAAGACCCCATTGAAAAAGAGTGAGCTGTTGTCTTAAGGGTGACGATGCAGATATGGAGGCAGACATTCAGCGAGAGTTGGAGGAGACACAGTTGGGGGTGGATGAACTCAAGCTGACCCTGCAGGCATTACAGTTCAAGAGGTGAGCCTCGGACACACTGATAATGAATATTATATGCAGGATTGTATGTGACGCACAAATGTGCATCTAGTACAGACAAATGTACAACAGCTCATCAAGAGCAGTTATGGGTGTCTGGAGCGGCTGAGATCTCTGGTAGTCCATGTGTGTCTCCCTGTGGGAAAGCTGGAGCAGAAGAGATCTCTGGTAGTCCATGTGTGTCTCCCTGTGGGGAAGCTGGAGCAGAAGAGATCTCTGGTAGTCCATGTGTGTCTCCCTGTGGGGAATCTGGAGCAGAAGAGATCTCTGGTAGTCCATGCCTGTCTCCCTCTGGGGAATCTGGAGCAGAAGAGATCTCTGGTAGCCCATGCCTGTCTCCCTCTGGGGAATCTGGAGCAGAAGAGATCTCTGGTAGTCCATGTGTGTCTCCCTCTGGGGAATCTGTAGCAGAAGAGATCTCTGGTAGTCCATGTGTGTCTCCCTGGGGGAAAGCTGGAGCAGAAGAGATCTCTGGTAGTCCATGTGTGTCTCCCTGTGGGGAATCTGGAGCAGAACAGATCTCTGGTAGTCCATGTGTGTCTCCCTGTGGGGAATCTGGGACAGAAGAGATCTCTGGTAGTCCATGTGTGTCTCCCTGTGGGGAAGCTGGAGCAGAAGAGATCTCTGGTAGTCCATGTGTGTCTCCCTGTGGGGAATCTGGTAGTCCATGTGTGTCTCCCTGTGGGGAAGCTGGAGCAGAACAGATCTCTGGTAGTCCATGTGTGTCTCCCTGTGGGGAATCTGGGACAGAAGAGATCTCTGGTAGTCCATGTGTGTCTCCCTGTGGGGAATCTGGGACAGAAGAGATCTCTGGTAGTCCATGTGTGTCTCCCTGTGGGAAAGCTGGAGCAGAAGAGATCACTGGAAGTCCATGCTTGTCTCCCTGTGGGGAATCTGGAGCAGAAGAGATCACTGGTAGTCCATGTGTGTCTCCCTGTGGGGAATCTGGAGCAGAACAGATCTCTGGTAGTCCATGTGTGTCTCCCTGTGGGGAATCTGTAGCAGAAGAGATCTCTGGTAGTCCATGTGTGTCTCCCTCTGGGGAATCTGTAGCAGAAGAGATCTCTGGTAGTCCATGTGTGTCTCCCTGTGGGGAAGCTGGAGCAGAACAGATCTCTGGTAGTCCATGTTTGTCTCCCTGTGGGGAAGCTGGAGCAGAACAGATCTCTGGTAGTCCATGTGTGTCTCCCTGTGGGGAATCTGTAGCAGAAGAGATCTCTGGTAGTCCATGTGTGTCTCCCTGTGGGGAATCTGGAGCAGAAGAGATCTCTGGTAGTCCATGTGTGTCTCCCTCTGGGGAATCTGTAGCAGAAGAGATCTCTGGTAGTCCATGTGTGTCTCCCTCTGGGGAATCTGTAGCAGAAGAGATCACTGGTAGTCCATGCTTGTCTCCCTGTGGGGAATCTGGAGCAGAAGAGATCTCTGGTAGTCCATGTGTGTCTCCCTGTGGGGAATCTGTAGCAGAAGAGATCTCTGGTAGTCCATGTGTGTCTCCCTGTGGGGAAGCTGGAGCAGAACAGATCCCTGGTAGTCCATGTGTGTCTCCCTCTGGGGAATCTGTAGCAGAAGAGATCTCTGGTAGTCCATGTGTGTCTCCCTGGGGGAAAGCTGGAGCAGAAGAGATCTCTGGTAGTCCATGTGTGTCTCCCTGTGGGGAATCTGGAGCAGAACAGATCTCTGGTAGTCCATGTGTGTCTCCCTGTGGGGAATCTGGGACAGAAGAGATCTCTGGTAGTCCATGTGTGTCTCCCTGTGGGAAAGCTGGAGCAGAAGAGATCACTGGAAGTCCATGCTTGTCTCCCTGTGGGGAATCTGGAGCAGAAGAGATCACTGGTAGTCCATGTGTGTCTCCCTGTGGGGAATCTGGAGCAGAACAGATCTCTGGTAGTCCATGTGTGTCTCCCTGTGGGGAATCTGGGACAGAAGAGATCTCTGGTAGTCCATGTGTGTCTCCCTGTGGGAAAGCTGGAGCAGAAGAGATCACTGGAAGTCCATGCTTGTCTCCCTGTGGGGAATCTGGAGCAGAAGAGATCACTGGTAGTCCATGTGTGTCTCCCTGTGGGGAAGCTTGAGCAGAAGAGATCTCTGGTAGTCCATGTGTGTCTCCCTGTGGGGAATCTGGAGCAGAAGAGATCTCTGGTAGTCCATGTGTGTCTCCCTGTAGGGAATCTGGAGCAGAATAGATCTCTGGAAGTCCATGCTTGTCTCCCTGTAGGGAAGCTTGAGCAGAAGAGATCTCTGGTAGTCCATGTGTGTCTCCCTGTGGGGAATCTGGGGCGGCAGAGATCACTGGTAGTCCATGTGTGTCTCCCTGTGGGGAATCTGGAGCAGAAGAGATCTCTGGTAGTCCATGTGTGTCTCCCTGTGGGGAATCTGGAGCAGAACAGATCTCTGGTAGTCCATGTGTGTCTCTCTCTGGGGAATTTGGAGCAGAACAAATCTATAGTATTTCCTGCATGACACATATACTGACATATCAGTTGGTTGCAATGTATGACTGGTTGATTACATGTCATGGTATCCCAATGTATGGATCTTGGTTCCCTATCACTGGTTTTCATACTGGTCTTCAACACTCATTGTTATTGTTCTACTTTGTAGGAAGCGTATTCTGCAGAGCCTGCTGTCTGTGACAGGGAGTGAGTCAGAGTATGTCAACCAGCTGCATGAGGTGGAGATGCAGATCAGTAAAACCAAGGAGCTGATGGAGGAGGTGGAGGCCACACTGGGGCTGGATGTACATGCAGCAGGTGGGTGTAGTCAGGGTGTGGATGTAGACAGTTGTCTGGTTGTGGGTGTGGGTGTAGGTGTAGTCAGTTGTCTGAGTGTGTATGTGAAATAGAAGTGGATGCCAGTATGGCCTTGATGTTAACATTTCATTTAATGCATGAAAAACTAAAAATTCCTTATTGTAAATGTATCATTATAATTCTGAAATCTTTTTTGCAGAAACATTTGATAAAGGCTGCAGATCAGAAGGACAAGTGGCCATGTCACCTGTAAGTATTGCAGTAAAGTCTCACAAACCCATGAAGAAGATATGACCTCCTTTTCTAGTACAAGGTCAACATAATTCCCATCACAGAAAATGGTCGTGTTTTCATGGTAATTTTGAGACTGGTGGCCCAGTTGGCTAAGGTACTGCAATTCGATGTGCAGAGTTGCGTACCTAGGGCATGCCAGGAACCTATGACCATGGGTTTGAATCCCGGTTCTCCCTGATTATGTTTCTCGGTTTGTCAGCACCCTACACTTGCTTGTTGATTTCACCAAAGTGAAACATTTGAGACCTGCATCACTTCGGGCTTTCCTCCCACAGTAGGCTGACATGCCGTGATATAATTGGAGTACTGTTCAAAGCATTGTTAATCCCAACCTAACTCACTCTATCATTGTAATCTTTTGAAAGTATTGTTGTTGATTTTTTTAAATACAAGCCAAATGTGATAAAAGAAAATTGTTTCTGATAATTTTTAATGTTTTTTTCACTTAAGTTTGAAAGAAATGTTAATTTTATTCTTATCCTGTCTCAAACCATGCATTTCTACTTTCATCTTTAATCCTATGTTGAAATGTGCTTGAACAATGTTTCCAGCTACTAAAAAATATTCAGCCTCAGTAATCCCATGCATTGTTACCGTACACGACCTGATCACTTGTCTATCTCTGCCACATCATTCTCTTTCGCCTTGCCACACAGTGGAGACCTGTTTGTCAGTATAGAGATGTAGTCTACATTTTGTTTTGTTTCCTGTGGTTACACTACTTACTTAGCATAGCCGTTTCTCTCCACGTCGAGGGGAATGGGCAAGAAAGATCTTCCAAGACCGGCACCACCTCGGTGGTCTAGTGGTAGAGTGTCCGCCCGGAGAGCGGAAGGTCCGGGGTTCGATCCCTGGCCGTGTCATACCAAAAGACGTTAAAAGATGGTACTTGTTGTTACCCTGTCTGGCGCTCGGCATTAAGGGGCTAAAACAAGGACTGGTCGGCTCGGAGTCAGTATACTGAGTCTGAGTGGGGTATTCATGTTAAACTGCGGCATGGTATCTCAGTGGGCTAGCAACTATAAATCGGCATCAGTCCGGACTAGTACAAGCAGCCACACAAACACACACACGTACATGCACGTTGCTATATAAGTGCAATAATCTTGGACGCGACGTTAAACCCAATTTCACCTCCAAGGCCAGCCTGCCTAGATAAAAAGCAAAAGAATACACTCTGGTCAAGTAACAAAAATGGGGCTTTGCAAAACAAACTGTCTCGATTGACGAGTTCAGTGAGAAAATTACAGTTAATAACAAAACATTTTCAAGAGAATAACACACGGAATGAAGCGATATTATCTCCATAAATGACCATCTGCATTATTAAGCCTTGTCAATGTGGAACTAATGTGAACTAAGGAAGTCAACAGTTTGTGTATGGGCCAGCCACTTTTGATTAAGGGAGACAATTTGAGGGGAGGTCACTCTTGTATGACAATAGTTCCGCCAAAGTGTATTGTTCACGGCAGTGAAATATCAAGTGTTATGTTCACTGCAATGAAAATATCACTTTTCTCAACTTTGGAAAAACCAGTCTTTCAAACTGAAGTACATAATATATAATTTACTACTGAAAAGATAACTATTAAGAAAATAAATATGCATGTATTTACATGTCAACAGAAATCACCCACAGATGCTTTCTCCTTTGTTTCCAGGAGTCAACTTGTGCCTTTATGTTTCAGGAAAAGAATATCAAGACAAACCGTGTGGCTCCACTCATTGTAAACCCAGTCTCACCTCAGAAGAATATAAGCACCACACCAGCAACAGATACAAGTAACGCCCAAGCAACCACCAATCCAAATACCAGTAACATGATGCATCAACAGCAGCTCCTCCAATCAATGATGGCAACACAAGCCAGCATGCAAGCTCTGGATCCTGCCATGATGAGTATGATGTTCCCCATGATGTCAAATAACATGATGCAGATGCCAGCCCTGGGACGAGGACAGAATACATCCCTTCTTCCAGGACTACAGAACTTTGTGAATGGTGGCCTTCCAAACGTTGGTGCTATGAATACGGGTAGTCAAAATGTGAACTCGTGCCTCTCCAGCATGAACGTTAGGTCTCCGAATATGAACCCAGGTATGCCAGCCATGGGAATGCCTGGTCTCCAGGGCCTGATGACCATGCCCAACCTTCAGGCACTCATGACCTCCGGCCAGCAGGTGCCAGCTGTGTCGAGCAACCCACGACTCTCTGCTCCTCAAGCCACCATGGGGGATCTTCAAGGAATGCCCAACATGTCCAACATGAGCAATCTGCAGAATCTACTGGGAATGTCCAGTGTAGCTTCTGGGCAGACAAGTAATCCTCAGAATATGACTCTTCTCCCGGAGCTTCTACCTCTGCTTGACAATCTTAACATAAGGGGTAACAATGGCTTTGGAAACCAGTGACAAAACAGAGTAGGGCTTCCTGACAGACTGGAGTCTTGTCTGTTGGACAATCTTACCACTGGATCTGGGATGTCCGACCTGGCTTCCCAACAGACTGGAGTCTTGTCGGTTGCTATAGGCAGCAACACTGGCATTGAGAACTAATGACATGACCCAAGAGCATTTTTGACTGGAATGTCCGATCTGGCTTGACTCTTCTATCTCTACTTGGCAGTCTTGTCGTTGTCATACAATCATATATGGTACTCCTTGTAAGCAAAAAAACCGTTAGGTAAGTATACAGAAAGACATGCAAGGTATATATTTAAAGTGTTGTGAAAGTCAGACTCCTCAACATTTTGTATTTGTATTTCTGCAGCATTGAGAATAGGACTGTTTGGTCAAATATAATAATGCAGTATAATTCTTTATGTTATGCAAGTTCAGGAAGGTATGTGGATGCTTGGTGAAGGTAACACAACAGTTATTGGTATGTAAATGTCTTGGTGTCTGATTTTGATATTGCTTAAAATTTTGTATGAGTGCAAATATTGTGACTTAAACATCATTAGTCTAGTTGAAAGGCTTTTGATCACATTGTTGCCTAGAAAGCTCTAGTTGACAAAATATGAGCTTTCTATTGGATCCTTGTGTTATACGTTTCTGATTGGTCAATGGTGCTCTCAAAGTGCTGTAGTTGTGGGCATTGTATACACCATTGTCAAGTTATACATCATTATCAATCAGTCATTATATTCTTTAGTGTAAGCTCTGCTAATAACAAGTTTTACAGAAAAACAGACAGATGAATACTGAGGGTAAGAAACTATAGCCCAGTAGAATGGATGTGATTTAGCTGTGATCAAATCACATGCCCAGTCACAGGTTTTCTATGTCGCATCTTCCTGGTTTCATAGCCTCTACTATTTCTTGTATCACATTATGTTCTTTCATAAAGGTTGTTAGGATGAATTTCAGGCTCTATCTTCCTTCTGTTTGTATTTGAATTAGTTCGCTGTGATTGGTCGAGGATTTATCCCTTCAACCTTTCAACATACTGTGTATTACCTAAGAGTATTAGGTGGATAAATATTTATCATTTATGTTTATTTCTTTAGAACAGTTGGTTGGATTTCCTTTTGTTACTATGTAATTATCAAGCCATTATTTCAACCTGTGCGATGTGTGCAAATTTATTTTCATTTTGAAATATTGTTCATTGTGTTTCATCAAGTCTGAAGGTTTACTATATGTGTATATTGGCAATAAACCTGTTTTTTAAAATAACTGATACAAGTGTTTGTTCACACGTTCTTTTACATGTCTTCATACAATTTATGACAAAGATTGTTGCTCCCAAATTGAATCACTGGATAGTCTGGTCCAAACATATTTTACAGGTCCCCGTCATGGCTCAATTTAGCTGTATAAAACATGCACAAGTTCAACCAATTATTGATAAATACAACCTGATATTGTCTAGAAACATTTCAAACTGACTAACCCTTACTTGTCCACACAAAATCGATCTTTGAAGACACACAGTACCTGTAAAATGTACTAGTATTTACCGTACTACATGACTAATCCCTGTTACATGTAATTTGTCATGCCTTCTTACACTTGGCATCATCAAACTGGGAAATTCAAGATGTTCCTCTTACATTTTATAGCAATGCATTATTGACATGATTATGTGACACTGGCAGCAGACGGCCAATGTTTCAACTTTAGAATGTATGGGACGAAGGTGCACCCTGGTTTTTGACACTGGCAGCAGACAGCCAATGTTTTAACTTTAGAATGTAAGGGACCAGGGTGCAACCTGGTTTTGACACTGGCAGCAGACAGCCAATGTTTCAACTTTAGAATGTATGGGACTAAGGTGAAACCTGGTTTTTGACACTGGCAGCAGACAGCCAATGTTTCAACTTTAGAATGTATGGGACCAGGGTGCAACCTGGTTTTTGACACTGGCAGCAGACGGCCAATGTTTTAACTTTAGAATGTATGGGACCAGGGTGCACCCTGGTTTTTGACACTGGCAGCAGACAGCCAATGTTTTAACTTTAGAATGTATGGGACCAGGGTGCAACCTGGTTTTTGACACTGGCAGCAGACAGCCCATGTTTCAACTTTTGAATGTATGGGACCAGGGTGCAACCTGGTTTTTGACACTGGAAGCAGACGGCCCATGTTTCAACTTTTGAATGTATGGGACCAGGGTGCACCTTGTTTTTTGACACTGGCAGCAGACAGCCCATGTTTTAACTTTGATACTTGTCATTAAAGATGATTATGCTTGTCGTAAGAGGCAACTAACGGGATCGGGTCGTCTGGCTCGCTTACTTGGTTGATGCATGTCATTGAATCCCAAGTGTGTGGATAGATGCTCATGATGTCAATCACTGGATTGTCTGGTCCAGACTCAGATATTATTATTGGGATACGATGACATGCATCAACCCAGTCAGACAAGCATAGTCGCCTTTTATGGCCGCTTGATATGGGAGTAGGGCCAACGTGATGCAACCGACGGGTACGATGCTGACAAACCAAGAAAAATAATCAGGCCAAATCTGCGTTTCAAATCAATGAGCCTATTGGATGCAACATCTTCACAGCAGTGCCTGAGACGACTGGGCCACCCGTACCACTGATAGCCTACGACTTTCTCGCAGTTTAGATAATTTCTCAAAAGTCGATGTGATTACTGCATCGCATGTTAAACTAGTTGTGAGGACATCATACCACTCTGAATCACTTCTCACAATCTTTTCATTCATAACTACTTCTCTGTAAAAAGGGCAATAAACAGATAAGTGTAATATATTATCAGAAGCTTCCATTAATTTAGCTTGATATAGAGAATCTCACTCGAGTGTCTTTTGATATCAAATATATCAACACGAGTTGATAAAAGTGGGAAAAACTCCGAGGCTTGCCGAGGATTTTTTCCACTTTTATCAACGAGTGTTGATATATTTAATATCAAAAGACACGAGGGCGGGATTTTATTTATCATCCAACATCATTCTTCCAACTTTTTCAGTTCGTTGACAGTAATAAGCAGTGTCTTAAAGGGCAAGTTCACACGAAAATAAACCTATCTTTCTTGTACTTTTCATCATGAAAAGTATTTACCTAGTAGTTTCGGAGGCAAAACAATTAAAATATCACACGTATCAAATTTATTTTATTCATAAAATCGGTTCATATTTTTCACATTTACAGAGAGTTCTATTTCCATAATAAACAGACCATGGCTTATGCCCCTTGCAATATGACGTCATTGGTGCCAATTGATAAAGGAATGACGTCATAAGACTTTATTAGACGCGTTTCACGTGGTGTATGTAGGTGTGTGGTTCCATCTTCTCAGATGCGCAGCCTAGCTATTGTTTTGTTCGGTGCCAAGCTTTCCAAGATACAACGCTAAGCACAATTACTCTAAAATTATTTCGTTTTCCAAAATCGCGACTGAGAAGACAACAATGCACTGATAACATACTGTAAGATTCGCGATTATGGTTGGAAGGGTCCGTTGTATGAATTGCGCTTATTCGTTCATTTGTGTTGCGCATATTGGCTCTTGCTGAGTTGCTGTCATCTTCCGTGAGAGTTTAGATACCTGCTGGTTCTGAAACCACAGGACCATGTGTAACTAATAATAACAATTAAAAAAACTCGCCAAAAAATTATAGAAGAGGCCAAAGGCCGTTTTTGTTACTATTACTAGTTACATATGGACCTGTGCTGAAACTGATCGGAAGCGGATGGTGTACGATCCTTATATGGAAACGGGCCAAAGGGACAGCACTCTCATCAAGCCCCTGACTGGGATGTTTTTGTAAACAAACGCCGTAAAGTTGAAGTAACTCGATCAGGTAAGTTTGCTGTTTTAGTTTATTCTAACCACAGTAGTATTTAAGAAATGTATTTTAGCAAGGGTAGGGTGATATTTGTACAGAAATGTACATAGTTTCACTTGATAATCATGAATATCCGCGATGTTGTCACGTTCACATGTTCACTTCCTGCATGGTTAAGTTGATACTCCTGATCAGCTGATCGTTGCAGTATGCAGCAAACTCCTGTTGATGGAGTAAGTTGTATTACGTAATGTTTTAGTTTTACAGCCATTCCCGTCTGGAATTAACGCAAATCATCTCATTTCGGTAATTAATAAACTTTATAATAACACAGGAAAACAAATTATAAATTATATAAACTCATTGAATTTCTGTGTGTGTGTGTGTGTGTTTGTGTGTGTACCTAATCATGTACAATAATTTTGATTCAGACTGTTACATTGTTGCAACATGTTTATTTTTTTATGTTTGGGCTTTATATATTTTTTATTTTAAAAGATATCTGGTTTTGCAGGTTTGTAGCTGACAAAATATCCAGTCACTATCCAAAATCATCGCCCACCTACCACCCAAAATATTCAAATTTCATGTTCAATGCAATTTACACACATATACAATTTATAGCACATTTATACATGAAAAAAATCAAGTTACCATTTTATATTTTGTGATAGTGAGATATAGATGACAAAAGTGTTAATGTTTCTATGTTATATCTTTCAAATATGAAGTTTCGAGCCAAGTCATGCCAGACACCGATGCCCAGAAAGTACAGGTCCCCAGTCCATCATGGTGTAAAGTCGCTGTCCAATGTACACAAGAAGCATGGCACACCGTGCTTCACAGTATGAGGTACAAAATAATATTTTGACAATGAATAATCACACAATGTAAATACTATATGCAAATAATTTCTGTATTGAACAGAATATTTAATATCAAAAGACACGAGGGCGGGATTTTATTTATCATCCAACATCATTCTTCCAACTTTTTCAGTTCGTTGACAGTAATAAGCAGTGTCTTAAAGGGCAAGTTCACACGAAAATAAACCTATCTTTCTTGTACTTTTCATCATGAAAAGTATTTACCTAGTAGTTTCGGAGGCAAAACAATTAAAATATCACACGTATCAAATTTATTTTATTCATAAAATCGGTTCATATTTTTCACATTTACAGAGAGTTCTATTTCCATAATAAACAGACCATGGCTTATGCCCCTTGCAATATGACGTCATTGGTGCCAATTGATAAAGGAATGACGTCATAAGACTTTATTAGACGCGTTTCACGTGGTGTATGTAGGTGTGTGGTTCCATCTTCTCAGATGCGCAGCCTAGCTATTGTTTTGTTCGGTGCCAAGCTTTCCAAGATACAACGCTAAGCACAATTACTCTAAAATTATTTCGTTTTCCAAAATCGCGACTGAGAAGACAACAATGCACTGATAACATACTGTAAGATTCGCGATTATGGTTGGAAGGGTCCGTTGTATGAATTGCGCTTATTCGTTCATTTGTGTTGCGCATATTGGCTCTTGCTGAGTTGCTGTCATCTTCCGTGAGAGTTTAGATACCTGCTGGTTCTGAAACCACAGGACCATGTGTAACTAATAATAACAATTAAAAAAACTCGCCAAAAAATTATAGAAGAGGCCAAAGGCCGTTTTTGTTACTATTACTAGTTACATATGGACCTGTGCTGAAACTGATCGGAAGCGGATGGTGTACGATCCTTATATGGAAACGGGCCAAAGGGACAGCACTCTCATCAAGCCCCTGACTGGGATGTTTTTGTAAACAAACGCCGTAAAGTTGAAGTAACTCGATCAGGTAAGTTTGCTGTTTTAGTTTATTCTAACCACAGTAGTATTTAAGAAATGTATTTTAGCAAGGGTAGGGTGATATTTGTACAGAAATGTACATAGTTTCACTTGATAATCATGAATATCCGCGATGTTGTCACGTTCACATGTTCACTTCCTGCATGGTTAAGTTGATACTCCTGATCAGCTGATCGTTGCAGTATGCAGCAAACTCCTGTTGATGGAGTAAGTTGTATTACGTAATGTTTTAGTTTTACAGCCATTCCCGTCTGGAATTAACGCAAATCATCTCATTTCGGTAATTAATAAACTTTATAATAACACAGGAAAACAAATTATAAATTATATAAACTCATTGAATTTCTGTGTGTGTGTGTGTGTGTTTGTGTGTGTACCTAATCATGTACAATAATTTTGATTCAGACTGTTACATTGTTGCAACATGTTTATTTTTTTATGTTTGGGCTTTATATATTTTTTATTTTAAAAGATATCTGGTTTTGCAGGTTTGTAGCTGACAAAATATCCAGTCACTATCCAAAATCATCGCCCACCTACCACCCAAAATATTCAAATTTCATGTTCAATGCAA